GTATGGTTCTCTGTAATGAATTACTGAGATCAAATATAGGATAGGTGTCAGGAGCTGATTCAAAGCACCTCCACATGGTGGAACCCCACATCTGCTAGAACAACAAAGACCTGTCATAGCTATACTTTTCAGATCTCGATTTCACCAAGAAAACTGAATACACTCTGGACTTCATAATGGAATGTGGCTCATTGTATTTACATCCTAGTTGCTGTCATTGATCTTTGTTTCAGGCAGTAGTCATGTAGTGGTAACAAAAAAAAAAACAAGAGGATGGGTACATAATGGTTGTGGCAGGTGACGGATCATTTAAATGTAGAGCAAAGTTACAAAAAGCTAGCAGGAGAAGATGATCTGATATCACCAGTAGAAAAACAAAAAAGTGACACAAAGCATTGTTACTGCCAGATGTCCAACAAAAAAACACACAAAAAAGACTGTGGGCTACTGACGTGGTGGAAGAAACATGATAAAAGGTAACCCAAAACCCACCACACCGATTACAGCAGAGCACATCTTTTGTAAAGCGGGATATGTTGTCAACAAGACCAGGGCTGTTAATAAGATTGTGCTAATTTTGCATTTCTCGCTCATAATTTGAGGACTGACAGAATATGATGTTCAGTCTAAAGATCTGCAGTTGTACATAAGCTAGTTTTAGAGAGATTTGATCTGAATTTAGGACAAAGTAGTACTGAAATGTGTTGATGTTAATATACAGTTGTTTTTCTGGGCTTAAAGAAGATCCAATAGTTATAATTCTTATGACATACTTAGGATGTATGCAGTCAGGAAGTCTGCTCTATTGTAATTCTAACAACCTTAACCACCATTTGGATGAAAGGACATTTTACAGCTTCTTGTCTCATAATGTCATACCAAATCATGTCTTTGTTTGATCAGTAAAAAAACTAATGTTGAGTTCCCAGGTTTCCTGAATATAGAGCAAGTGGCAAGTAGTGCTGATTCTTCTTTTGGACAGCAGTATCTGCAAATAAACTACATTGTCATGAATCTACATGCTGTCCATGTTTATTGCAATGTTGTTTTAATGCCAACATTGTCTCATTTTTTTTTAATTAAGAAATGTAAAGAGTGTAATAAAACCATTATCAATAGCATATTCAGCATAAAAGTATAAACTTATTTTAATTCTATATAATTTAGTCCACTGCTGTGCTATTTATTTAATTATAAGTCTTTGTTTTCAGCAGGAGTTTGATTAGCAGAAAGAAAATGAAAACATGTACCTTGAATCTGAAGCAAAATGATCAAGGTGATGTTTGTGTGTGTTTATTTGTGTGTGTGTGCACCTCCAATTATGTGCTTAGGGTTGGATTCAGATTTGTCCACCTAAATCAGATGCTTCAATTCAAAACTTATGTCAATAAATATATGAGAAAAATTATCCATATTCAGGTGCTTAAGTAGATTTGGAAGATTGGATGGAGCATTAAGATTACAGACATTGCATGCTTGTAGATCACACCACTGAGGTTTCCAGCTAATCTGCATCGAAGCACCTCTCTTTTAAACCAGTGCTTGCCTGTATACCGAAAGATAACTAAGGGGTTTTTTTTATTAACACCCAGAACAAGTGTTTCATAGAATACTGATCACATTTATTTAAGATCAGGCAAGTGTAAGGACACATACACATACAAAACTGTGTTAATGTTTTTTATACAGTTTGTTGTTAAATAGCCTACTGTAGTGTACAGTGTAGTTTTATACTTTGTATTGTTAAAGAGCCTACTACATGTTCAAAAATATATAACAATGACCAGTTGTTTGGTCATTGTATAATAATCTTTTGGAGTAGTTGACCACCGTTGAGCTTTCTGGTGTCCTATGCTATTCAGAAAGCCTTGTCTGAATGCCACTGACCCTTCTGATGATACTAGCGCATGCACAGACTTGAACTATTTAATCGTAGATGTTCACTGCAGTAGGCTTCACCTGCCTCACAATACTCCGAGCACTTCTCATATTCATACTAACAGATCATCATTACAGGCTTCTAAGTGTATTTACTTCATGGTTCTCTTTCATATGTTTCTAGCAGCAGCTACTGGTTTTCACTGGCAACAGTGACTGATTTTTACAGATCTGTTTCTCATTACCTCTAACAGTAGTCAGTTGCTTAATTGCTTAATCCAAATACTTCTGTACAATGACAAGCTGTTTTTTTCCCCTTTTCTCTATTTTAATGGTAAAACCTTATTCTTTGTTCATATTGCTCTTATGTTATTGTTTTGCAATCTGCTGTCAACCTAAGTAGGATGCATTCCCCTTATGAGTCTTGGTTACTCTCAAGGTTTCTTCTTCTGGCTCTTATGGAGTTTGTCCTTGGCACTGTTGCCATTTGCTTGCTCATGTGGGCTTGTATCTTGATTTTTTTTTTTTTTTCCCAAAGCTGCTTTGTGACAATGGCTGTTGTAAAAAGCGCTATATAAATAAACTTTGACTTGACTTAGTGATAGCACATCTATAGTTTGTGAATGAGACACAACTTTCCTTATTCATCCAAAAGTATGAGGTAAACAGAACTAATTCCTGCTAATAAAATAAAAGATAAAAAGGCCTGAAAAATCGATTTTTAGTTGAAGCCATTTTCATCTCATGGTGTAGCTTCAAGTATTGCATGGAGAAATTAATCGTTTATAGATTTACTTGAAAGGTAGGAACAGTACATAAAACCAAGATTTTACAGAAATAATTTTGAAACATGACTGAATGCTTAAATGCTGTGATTTAAAAATATATTAACCCAGTTGGGCTTAAAAAGAGTAGGCATCAATCTGCCTGTGAAAACGTGTCTATGTTTGGTAAAGAGCTTACATTATGTGGTCTAGTTTACTTCACAGCAATGGGCCATGTCACACCATAGTAAGTTAGTAAGTATCTGGAAGGTCACTGGAATCTTTCTGATGATGTTACAAATATAAATTACCAGCTCATGAGAAAATCTTCATGACATTATTCATCAAAGACTAGAAAAGAATTATAGCCAAACCAGCTGACCAAGGCGGTACCTCCTCTCTCCTCCTCAACAGGTTTCACACCTTTAGCAGCTTATCCTGAATGAAGTGCATATGATACCCCCACACTCTCTCAAGTTAATAACCCATGACTGTCATAACTGTTAATAGCTAGGCACAATGTTTATCTACCCATGGTTAATGATGTATTTGGTGCTGAAGATGAGACACTGCTCTGAAGTAGACGTTTAGTCATTAGTGTACGCTTCTTTGTGATCTGTCTATTGTCTTCAACTACAACTATTCAGCTTCCACAAACACACTAGATCCAAACAGGAGTTCACAGAACTTACTTAGTGCAACAGCAGCTATCATACTGAGATTCTTGCCTGCTTTTACAGACGTTCTGAGCCCTAGGAGCTCTAGGTGTCTTTAGAAATACTTAGAAATACTTAGAAATGTACAGTGAGAAAAGACCTATGTGCAGAAAATAGAAAGAAAAAGGATGAGAAGAAATATGCAAACTTAGCTCCCCATGTATGCTCAAGTAGGACTCCCTGCACGCTCTACACAGCACCTTTATATTGGCTGTATCTCTGCCTTTAGCCATCACAACTGTTAAGCAAAAAATCAATTCAGGAAAATGAAAAACAAAACAACATACAACACAGTATTTATCAATATTAAATCCTTTATTTGTTTCTAACCAAGAAGCATACAAATAAAAGTTACTAGGTAGTGATTAAAAAATTACATTTTTAATTATTTAGATAACGTTAGTAAAAGTATGACATTATGCTAGTGTTGCTTGAGATCAAAATACCCTGTATAGCCTACATTTCTATAGAGTACAATGAGTGCAGAATTTTTCATAGCAAAAAAAAAGGACATTTTACAAGATATTAATAATAATAAATACCATGGCTAATTTATTATTAGCCAGTTTATCTCAGGATCATTGTGTTTGCTTTCAGGAACCTAGCTATCAGATATAAATATCAAGAGAGGGCTACAAGACTGCTCTCCTCCCTCCTTGAGAAATTATGATAACAAAGCATTTCACTTATTCAGAGAAACTTTTTCATCTAATCATGCTATGCAAGTAGTCTCCAAGTGCTTCTTGTAGCAGCATTTGGCCAAAGTGACACTCAAAATCCTGTGTTTCTTTTATGCAGGAGTTACAAGCCTATAAACACTTTGAATTTGGTTCATAGCAAATGCTGGAGAATAATCAAGAGTGTCTTCGCTTTGTAATGAGCTTGCACAAGTTTTTCAGTGAATATATATCCATATGGCATTTTGGGAAATATCTCTGTTCACTATTCTTATTTTTTGTTTTAAATAATTTTGTTTACAAGACACTGCAGTCAACATTTTTAGATTTTTAGGTTACTGTTGATGTGTAAATCTCAAATCCCAAACAATTCTTCAGTGAACTGGGCTCAGCCCTGGATCTTTACATGCCCAGCCAATGCCCCAGGATATCAGAGTTCGGTAGCAGTGCATAAAATAATTTTTGAGAGTTTAGTGGTGCAAAACCACTAACACTGGTCTACAGAGATGTGGAAAAGATCATTCTGGACATAGTTACGTACAAATTATTTAAAACCTGTGACACTGCCTAATGCTAGCACCATATTAGAAATTTGTACACATGTATTTGCAACCAGAATACCATTATATTATGGCATCACCTCTGTAGGTGATTCAGTAACAAGAAAAAGAAACATTTATCTGGTTTAAGTAGTTGCTAAACGGCTTATATTCTAAAAGTAAAATCTGAAAACAAGTGTGGTGGTGGGTTTTGTGGAGAAAATGGGTGCTTTTGTTTTAAAAAGAGAGCACACTAAGCTGCTGAGTATTCCTGGCTGTTTTTGAGCTGTTCTGCAGTTTGAAATAAACACCGATGTAACTGCCTACCTGGGCAGTGCAGTAGCGCGTTTTGTTTTGGTTCCTACCCCCTAAGGACTTTAAGGACTGAGGCGGAACTATATGTCCGCAAGTGTTTCCGGGGGGGGACCCGTTATATGCACGGACGGTGCGGATAGCGGAGAACTCGTATTGCACGCCGTTAAAAGGGTTAAAATTAAGTGTTTTAAAGGTGTTTCACGTTTGTCAAGGAGCACTACAAGGGAAACCATACCCTCCCTGTGAATTTAATGCAGCCAATGAGGTTTGTGTTCTGTTTGTTATTTATTTTACGTGAAGTTTATATTGCATTGCTGCTGCTAGTGCTAATATACATGTAGTTATATGTTCGTGTAAAGCTAACGGTTAAATGAAGGTGTTTTAAAACGAAGTTAAAGTAAACAAAGACAACATTGACACTAAGATTAAAGGGTTTAATATTGGAGTAAATTAGACATTTATGCTCAATTGTACATGTGTTTGTTATTTTATTTTACAGTTCTCACGTTTAGGAATAAAACCCTAATCAGTTCATTTAAGAACAGTTGTGCTGTTGTCATTAAATCAGAGGGAGGTACAACCGAGTTTCTTGGAGAGAATGTCACTTTGGTGCCTAGAAGTGGCCAAGAACCGGGGATACATTGTCGGGCCTCGCCACAGCCCGAGGCTTTGGCTGAGCCTCAGATGGGCGACATCAAGCTGAGGACCATGTGGTGGAGGGAGGTGAGGCCATGGGTAGATGAAAATATGCAGTAAAGAACCAGGCCCAGTGGCCAGGGGGGAAGAGTATGTACTCTCAAAGAAGGTGTAAGAAAGCAGCAAGGCAGTGGTTATATGCCAAAAACCTGGGGGTGAACCGTTCCTGGCATGGCCTCACAGCTAGTTTGGAGAGGCGGAATGGTGAACGTGGGCCCGCAGGGGAAGCCTCAGCCTGTTATTCTTCGATTTCACCGCTATCAGGTCAAAGAACTGGTGATCTGTGAGGCATGTAAGCGAGGGTACCTGATGTACCAGGGCCACAAGATCCAGATATATGAAGACTACAGCGCTGAGCTGCGAATTACACTGCCGACCGGCAAAAGAAGATGGCTGCAATCAGTATCAGAGGCTGAGAACTTCCTTCAGAGCTCCAACGCGCTTTGGCTCTGGACTCAGGGAATTAAACCAAATCTTCACCTCTTTTTTTTCGTGCTCCGATGTATACTCTGCTCCCAGTTGAGTATGTTGAACTGGCCCTCTTAGACGGCAGCTTCGAAGTTGCAGTTGTTTCATCCTGTCATTAACTGCCGTATGGATTGTTGCTTGAACTTTCTTTGTAATTAAGCTGCGTTTTTCCCTTAAATTAATGTTCTGGTTAGCTTTTTTTATTGTTGTTATACTAAAGTTAATATTGTGTCCGCATTGCTTGCATTGTAACTCAAGCTGATATAAAACTTTGTGTGCAAGATTCTAAAATATCTTTTTAAGGCTTAGCTTTTGTAAGTTTGATGTCATGTTTCATCCGAGGTTAACTGTGTTCGGGACTAGAGCCTTAAGGTATAGGAAGTAATACATGTTGACTTAAGTTGAGCATATGTTCTTTCTCGCACTTGTGGTAGTTTTGGACCTGGAGCTCAAGTTTGTTTTTGGCCAGTTGGCTTATTTGTTTTGTTTTGTACTTCTTTACACTATTGTTTCTAAATTACGTCATTATTCGTTTTATCATTAATTCTTACAAGCTTTCTATTTTCCTGTTATCCTCCCCTTTTATATTCTCAATGTTTTACCCCTTGTACTTCTTTATACCTTGTGCTTATGGGGGCACTATTTTTCTACTATCTCCCCATACTGCTTTACCCTAATGACAAGTCCAAATAGTGTGGTAGCATCAAGTAGTGCACTTAGATTTATGACCTGGAATGTTCTGGGGCTAAATTCACCCATAAATCATAACCAAGTTCTTAGCCACCTCAAACATTTAGGTACTAAAAATGCATTTCTTCAGGGGACTCATCTTAAGATAAGATAATCTTTTGTTAGTCCCACAATGGGGAAGTAGAGTCCAGAAGACGGGGGCTGCAGCAGGGGTAATTGTGTAGGGGCGGGGTGAGTGATCAAATCTATTGAAAAACAGATTGAGATCGTTCTATTCTATAATTCTATTAAAATGTGTGTTCTTCCCAAGATCGTTCTATTCTATAATTCTATTAAAATGTATGTTCTTCCCAAGTTTTTATACGTCTTTCAATGTATCCCTATTTTTATTCCCAAATCCTTTTTTTTCACTTGATGGACTTATTTCTCAGTTTATATGGAATAAAAAAAAACTAGGATCTGGAAAGTTATTTCACAAAGCATTTAGGGGGTCTGGCCCGTTGATGTTACACTGGTACTCTACAGGACATTTGGACACCTTGGTTGCATATGGAGAGTGCTTTGTGCTCTCTGGCCTCTCTTGCATCCCTTCTTTGTCTCCCTGTATACTCTTCTCATATTAAATACTCTAATAATATTGTTAAAAATTGATTAAAAATTTGGGTCCAGTTTACATGGCATTATGGATTTCAGACTGTTCCTCTGTCCTCTCCACTGCATTCTAACCCTTTATTCTCTCCCTCTGTTTCCGATAACGCCTATGCAGTATGGGCAAGATGTGGTATTTTTTCTGTGGAAGATCTATATTTTGATGGAGTATTTGCTTCATTTGATCAGTTAATCTCAATTTTTTTATCTGCCCAGGGCTCATTTTTTTTCAAGTATTTACAAGTAAGGGACTTTGTTCATAAAAATATCAGTAATTCCCCAGCCACTCCACCTCCCTCCTCTTTAGATGCAATCCTAAAAATAGATCCTTATATAAAAGGCTCTATTTCTAAACTTTACCACACCATGTTCACTCTTCAGTCTTCAAACACTCATCCTCTACGTATTATACGGTACCAGGACCTGGGTGTAAATATAGAGACAGAGTCTTGGGAGGCAATTTTTAAGCGTCCATAGTCCATCTATATGTGCTCATCATTGTATTTTGCAGTGTGAAGTTGTTCACAGAGTGCACTGGTCTAAAAGTAGGCTTTCTCGTATTTATCCTAGTATTGACCCCCCTAGATGTGATAGGTGTCACCATAGCTCTGCTAATCTCCTACATATGTTTTAGAACTGCAGTTCCTTGTCTTCATTTTGGGAATCTGTTTTTGATTCCCTCTCTGCTGTAATATCAATTAATATCTCCCCTTCTCCCATGGTTGGTCTTTTCGGAGTTCTACCCATAGGCCTTTCTGTGCCATCTCACTTTGGCTTTTTTGACACTGCTTGCAAGACAGCGAATTCTTATTTACTGGAGAAAGCCCCACCCACCCTCTCACACGGCATTTATGAAACTTGATCAGATTAAACAACATCTACGTGGTTCAGATAAAAAAAATCTTTAAAGTCTGGCAGCCCTTTTTAGATCATATACACGACATACAGCTTGATGTTTCTACCAAGTGAATTTTTTCTCTTTCTATACTATTTTTGCCTCACTGCTGTCTGTATAATATGGGGATCCCCTCCTTTAATTACTATTAATAGTACTTTTGTACTTATTTAAATTATTATTGTGCTTTGTGTTTTTTTTCCTTAATTCTAATTTGAATTATTTTCTTATTATTGTTACTTTTTTTCTTTGATAGATTCTGTTTTACAATATGCAATGCCTGTATCTTGTCAATTTTTGAACAGCTTTATTTATGTATTTTGCAATGTCTATAAATAAATCATAAAAAAAAAAGATAAACTTCAAAGAGACATCAACATTAAAGCGAATGCTGAGTTCCCGGCGACTTTCCATGATATCTTGGTGGTGGATGCGTTCATTCGGACAGTGAGACTAGGGGTGGCTTGGTGGCTGGCAAAGAAAATGGAGGGACCACAGATCACAGTAAAATCTGTCAGGCTGTGGGGGTGGGTTGCAATGATACTTAAGATAAAGAGATGTTCAGAGCAGTGGCTGAGGTGACATGTCATTTATGTAAACAGACAGGGCATGTGAGTGCCCACACAGGAGGTATTCAGTGAGCACTCAGATGCTGGAAGGCTGCAGGGAATGGCCGTAAAGGAGGATATAGCTGCCGGCGTGAATTATTTCCTCCACAGCCACCTCCACACTCGGCAGTTTATGGTGCCATGTAAATTGAATGGTAAGGAGTTGTGGGTACTAGTTGACGCTGGCTCAACAATTAGCATCATTAGATAAGGAATCGTCCCTCTCAATCCATCCTGGCGGCCCACAAAGACAAAAATGGAGACTATAACAGGGCAAACTGCCCATGTCACCTGGAAAGACTGCATTGATGAGGTGTTGGACTGGCTGTCCTGCTCTTCCTGGTTTGGCATGCTTAACCCACGTAGCAGCTACTGGGAGGTCTCCTGGCCCTTGACGCAGCTCCCAAGACAGCCTTAATGCTGGGCAGGGGGTTATGGGAATTTACTGTTCTGCCATTCGGCCTGGCTAACAACCCCACCACCTTCAAGAGACTAATGGCATGGGTCCTCGAAGGAGTGTCCCTCACCTCCTGTATCGTTGATTTGGATGACACCCTAGTCCGTACAGTGGACTTTAAGCTTCTTGGGGCTGGCCTCACATGTTGCTGCATCGGGACTGCCTGGCCCCATTCCTGGAAGATCAGGCAGGGTAGAACCTTGCCCCAGAGGACCTGACCAACGCTCTCTAGAGAGCGCCTCAGGCCTCTCCAGATCACTCCATTGGAATCCTCTCCATGGCCCCCTGGAGACCTGAGGGGACTTCGACACCCCATCAGATTCAACGCACAGGCCGGAAGCTGAGCTGAGGGGGATGCCAAATACTCCTGGGGTCAGGAGACTACATCAGTTCAGAGCAATGTGGCATTCAGCATTTACTAAACTATGTAGGTAGTTCAGTAAAAAAGAAAGAAATGTTTATTCTGGTTTAAGTGGGCTAAACATGGACTTCTGTTCTAAAAGAGCCTGAATACAAGTGTGGTGCCAGGTTTTGTGAAGAAGGAAAAAAGTTTTTTTTTTTTGTTTTGTTTTGTTTTGTTTTTTGCAGAGAGCATGCTAGGCAGTTGGGTTTTCCTGGCTGTTTTTGAGCTGTTCTGCAGTTTGGAATAAACGCTTCAGTTGTGGACTAGACCCCTGACTTCACTGAGTTTCTTGGAGAATGTTACAATATTATTAAAAACACTGAAAATATATATGATGAGTGTGTGGTCTGAATAATGATCCCAGTCCAGCCCTGCCTCCTGTGCTGTTTCACACACTTGTAGAATCTATACCAAGGTGTTCTGGCAGTGTGTGGTGTGCCAGCACCCAATAATCTAGTAGTAAAAAGAAGGTGGGTGGATGCCCTGTTGAATAACTGCAAAAAGAACAAACTACTTATAAAAACTAAGCATAACAAGTCAAGTTTATTTAAGTATTACATTGTACAACAGACACTGTCACAAAGCGCAAAGCCCCAAAAGACCAAGCCAAGGGTGACAGCGGCAAGGAAAAATTCCCTAAGAGCAAGAGGAAAAAACCTTGAGAGGAACCAAGACTCAGAAAGGGAACCGATCAAGGCAGATGAAGCAGCAGCATCAGACCACTGTTCAGCTCAGCAAAAAGAAATGTATTCTTTCATCAATTTAATCACTGTAGTGTTATTATTTTGTGTGAACTGCAGTGCAGGTTGGTTTCTGATATTGCATATTGTCGCTGTCAGAGCAAAACCAAAAATGGTAACTTTACAGAAGAAGGCAAAAACGTACTTTACTATACTTTATTTTGGACCATTTCTTTTGGTCGATTCATTATAAAATGTAAAGAGCAACTGGCATGTTTAAATTATATTACAACATTAAAAACTACAAAAATGGAGTTATTTCCATTTGCAGTAAGTTATTTTTGGTGTTATGGGTCTGTTCTGGGACCTCCCTGCCTTTCCATGTGCATGTGTCAGCAATAAATAATTTAAAAAAGCAAACTGATTTGCTATTTCTTTTGAAATTTTTTGATCATTTAGATCAAACACACTGTGTAATAACATGCTATTAATGTGCTGAGAGACAATAATATGCATACATGGTTGACGCACCAAATCGCTCATGCTCACTGTGATTTCTCTGCTGTTTATCCTTCTGGACGAGCTTTATGCAGATGAGTTTAGTCTAATCAGATTTTTGATGGGTATGGCACAGTAACCAAAAGTGTGCGTCATGCCCATAGACACACGCTGAGATTCAACACTCAAATACACTGAGTGAGAGATATAACAGTTAATAATAAAAAAAAAATGTGTTCAAAGCGCGGGACGTTATTACTTTTTTTTCTTAAGTTAAAAAAAAATCAATCTTAGGCTGCTTTGGGGCTTAGAAATAACATACAAATCTTCAGTATACTTTTGCTCTTTGCACCTCAACCTGCCAACAGTTGGCAATGCAGCAATTCTACTCGCTTTAATGAAAATATATCATGCAGTGAAAATACAACTTAAACAATGCACAGCTATTGTAGATTTTGTGGAAGTATAATGATTTAATATACTACCAGTTTACCAGAATTATATCTTTCACAACTTAAACTGTAAAAATTTAGCAACTTTTTTTGTTTTAAATGTTTCCAGCATAGCAGTTTTGCTAAATATGAGACCAGTGACTGTTTGCATGAGATGCAATATTAGTCCCAACATTCTCTGAAGCATGTTGTACACTCAGTTAGATTTTTTTTAATCCAACCTAAACATACATTATTCTATTTCCTGATTAACTTCATCAAAATATTTAATGCCATTTCTAAAATATTATTTATAAATGTAAACACAATGCACTTAAAATTCAGTAAATTATATGTCACCTATATCAAATATAATATACTTTGCTCATGCCTTCGCTTTTTTTTTTCTGTTTGCCTTGTGTTAAATAAAAGTCATCTTGCTGAAATGTTTTTTCTTTTGTGTTTATTTGAATTCATGTGTTTAAAAAGACACGTTAATCCAAAAGTAATGGAAAATAATAGGATTACTGTATATGAATTCTTTGGGTTAAAATACAGAACACATTCTTAACAGATAATCAGTAATCTGTACTGGAATACATTTCAAGCACCTCCTGTGAACAAACAAGTCCAAAAGTGGTGTAAGTGGAAATGTTAATTTACCCCATATGTGGGGTAAACTGTATCAGGCTGAGAGTCTAGTTGTAACAGTTGCAGGGGCATGGCCACATGGCTGGCAGCTGCCACACTTGAAATAAAGCTTGATACTCCAATTGCCAACTCAACTCTGATCTCAAAATAAATATTATACGGGAAAAGCACTTAATAAGCCCACATATCATATAACTTTGATTTTTATAGTGAACTATTCAAAGAAGTGGAGTGCTTAAAAAATGAATCATATTCAATAAACACAGATCTTCTTTGTCTGTTTGTCTGCCAAAATATATTTTTATCTTGTGATATTTGTATGAATGTGGAAGGACTGTCCTGAACATATTGGACACAATGTCCAATATGACACTGATTTCACCTGCTGCCCCCTGTTGATGGCTGAAACTTGCATTTCACATTTGTTGTTTGATAAAAAGATTTCACCAGTCTCTGCTAGAAAACCGCTGGCCTGTGATCAGTGTCATGCAACAGTGATGTACCAAGCCTGTGCATTTTTTCAACACTTTCAAGACTGATAGGAGACCTTAATTTGCTGCCTTTTCCCTCTATTTCTTTCCATATCAGGATACGAGTTTGGTTGCAAGAGCTTGCACAGGAGCACTGTTTAGGCAGCAACATACCCGGCTCCCACTTCCTTCCAGTCTGCCAGAGTTCAGGGGGAATAATATTTCTTTTTTCATGTTTCACCAAGTCATAATTTTCTTAAAGGAAAATCAAATGATTTTATGATGGATAATTAAAATTACTGGTATGACTAACCTTAGCAGATCATTCTAATTATTGTTGTGTCCTTTGGGTCATGACTGCACGAGATTAGTTTGATGTAGTTTGATGTAGAATATTGTCCTCCTGTAGTTCTGCATTACTCTGATCTATGGACTGCAGACAGTTTGGCACTGACTATGTTCTTCTTCACTCTATCCTAAGGCATGTTATTGGTTCTTCATTCGCCCAGTGCAATCACAGTTACATTTTTCCCATGCTTCTTTGCTATGTGTGTGCAGAATTCAGTCAAAATTTAATTTTTTGTTCATTCTTCAAAAAGTGTTGTTTTGTGTTTTTCTGACACATGAAAAATTACACAAGATGGGCCACACAGAAATTGCCTCATGAAGGAAAATTACACCCTGACTCAAAAAGAATGGTAAAGTCTATTTAGATGAGCTAAACATTATGGTGTAAGAAAAACAGCACAAGGGCAGAAACAGCATCTGTTATCTTTAGACTTAAGACCTAATGTAAACAAAAGAGCAAACAAGATCAGGATCAACTTCATCCATGAAGATATGATTAAATCATACCAAATGATTCTGGCTTTCTCATTTTAAGCTTGAAATTCTTGTTTTTGGCCCTGTAACAGATAAAGCACAACATATAACCTAGGCTTGAATATGTCAACATGTTAAACAAAGCACTCAAAATGCTGCTTGTTTTTACAATGCAACACTTTTGGAAAATAAACCAAGAGGCATTTTTCAAAAAATGCAGTCCCAAAGAGTGTGCTCCATGTGGTTTGAGCAACAGACTCCTGCATTCTGTTACAGATATGTAATCACGTTACCACATACGATGATGAAGTCCAAAACCTAATTACCTCTCTTCTATTGAGCTATCAATGTTTTTCTTTTAGACAGCTGTGCACTCCATAAAGCTCATGGCCATAAACATGTCTTTATTATTGATTTTTTTTTTTTACTGGGCTCAAAGGATCTGCCCATACACACTATAAACACTTATATTCTTTTACCAACTCACTTTTAATTTCATGCTTTACTGAAATTCCAGTACACCAACAATTATTCTCCCATTAACTGGAATCATCAAATAAAAACATCTAGGGAAGGTAGAGAATATTGTACCACAGACCAGTGTCATGGGGGTGGGCTTTCAGGTCATAAGCCCTGAATGTTTCTAGCAAAGCCCTTAATCTTTGCTCACCTTCGGTTCGTCAGTTAGTAATGACTGTCCTTTTTACCAAAATCCTTCACTGCACTTCGCAAGCCTCGGCCCCAGCCCCCTACAGTGTGCAAGCTGGTGGATGTGGTAACGTACAAGGCTGGCCACTTAAGCCATCAGTATACTTAAACCAAAAACAACATTTCAAAGAAATGCAGTGCTTTTTTGGCCAAAACAATTTGTTTTTTTGAGATCATATGGTGAGGTGTGCGCTGCTTATAGTGCTTCTTATTAAAATTTTGTGTTCCACATTAAATGGTGCGTAGTTATATTTTGATGTCAAAGCTATCTGCACCATTTAAGATGGAACGGAAAATTCAGATTAGAAGCTGTGAGAAACCAATTTCAGTCTCATTAGTAACATTAACATGCTCTCACATCATGGACATGCAGGGACACGGAAAGTGGGGGTGGTGAAGGTGATACATTCTATTGTAAATTTTGCATGTCATCAGTCGCATCACATATTCGTTGCTCAAAATTACAGCACCACCAAACCCGCATCCCTGTAAACATGGACTAAGTATTTCGAAACGAAAGAAAAAAGTCAATCTCCAAAGTCTGCCACAGAAAAAAATGCAGCTTCAGGTAAATGTAATGTAATGTAAATAGTCAGAATTAGCCCAATGTCAGCTTGTTTACCACGTATTAAGCTAATAGTACTGACAAAGATCATAAAACATTCATTGTTAGCTAGGTAACTAATGTGTAAATCAGTGTGATGCCATCTCATCTGTATGAAGTTTATGTTCGCTGAATGACTGAAATGTGTTAAATCTAAATCAAATTATGTAAGCAAACTGCAATCCCAGATTAGCTAGATCATTTTATTGAACTATAGGACAAATCAGTGCTATGTCTCAGCAGAAGAAAACTTCCAGATGGACAACGCAGGTAGCAGCCGATTCAAAAACAAGAACTGACCCAAACATGAACCAACTGAACATATAGTTCTAGTTTTACTTCATTTTCCAACTGAAAGACAGATTGAACTGTGATGATAACCATGATTAACGATTTAAGTCTTT